TAGAAGATGAAATATTTTATTGCATATATATTGGAGCTTTATGCAATCATCTTATATTGTGATTATTGAGAAAGACATGCGTTTATAGATAAATAAATATATTTATATTTATATTTATATATATGGAAAAATCATTGATTGATTTATCGAAATTAGACATAATCTGTATAAAAAGCTTCAAGTCATGAAAAGAATCATATATGGATTATTTTAGAAATTCAACATAAAATTATCACTTAGACATATCTATTTTGTGTGATTTCCTGGCCATTGCGAAGCATTTCAAGATCATAAAATATCATGTTATATTACATTTATATTGACTTTTGTAACATATAAGCTTTCTCCTGTTTGAGGTTCGCCTCTGTATATATATAAGGACTTACATAGAGAAATGTTCATGTTCCAATCATTTACATGAGTTGGATGTTCTCTTCGTTAAAAAATTTATTGTCATGATTTGTCTATATATATATATATATATATATTCATTTTCTCTCACACTTGATTATTCTTCTGTAGATTTCAGCTTTTGTTTGGACAATATATCGTGGAGTATCTCATTTTTTACAATATATCTTATTTCCAATAAGCCTTTGAACCACAATCGATGAGGCTTCAATATATGTCATTAACCATAAAGGTAGGAGGGAGAGAGGAGACCTGAGGCTAAATGAGTACTTCACATATCTTAGATTTTAGTCTTTGCAAAACATAAAAAGTTACAAGGAAAAATTTCTTTGCATTTTTTTTCATTTCATTAATATCATGATATAAATATATAGACAATCTCATAAATATGTATAAATGAATTCTTTATTTTATGGATTTCCAATTTTGACTTATGAGTAATTTAAAAGATAATCCTACAATTCTTGGATTGGTAATTATAGTTGAACAATATGGAGATGGTATTAAGAGGTTGGCATAAATTTCAGGTCTTTTAGTCATTAATGTTTCATATAAGGTGGAATTTTTGTTTTTATTTATTTCATTTTATGTTTTCAAAGAAGAGACAAGATGCGTGATGAGATGTGGTATATGCTCTTTATTATTTTCTTGTGCTGGCTATAGCTTTGGGTTTTTCAAAAACCAAAGCTCTAACTAGTACATGAATTATCTGGTCTGGTGTGACATAGTTTCTTTATCTCAAGTGTACAAGCATTTGGAAAGATTATAATGGTATTATTTGAGACAAGTAGACTAAATCAATTTATTTGACTGTTCTAAATATAATGATAAGGTCATAGATAAGATTAAGAGATCATTTTTATGTGCTATCATATTCCACATATTATTTTACATTAGCATTTTTAAGCAAGGTTTGATGTATTTTTGTTTACAGACTTAAATTTGCTCAATTGGTTCAATATTTATATATTAACTTCTTGATTGTATATGCGTCATATTCAAGATTGTGCTAGATACACAAAGTTGCAAAGAAAATTCAATAGAGACCATGTAGCATTTGGATTATATTGGAGGAGGATTTTATATGTATCATAAAGCTGGGATTCAAGTTTACGATTTTTTTTGAACTCGAATGCAGTAATTTAAAACAAAATGGTAAGTATAACATTGTTGCTACGACATATAATTTTAAGACACTTGCTCTAAAATATATTATTCTTATTTTACAAGTTTTTATTTCTCTTAATCAAATAAATTCATCAAAGATATCAATAAGAGAAATCTATTTATTTTGAGAATTCATTTTTTGGCTTATTTTCACCTTATCGAATATGATACATAAATATCATTGATATTAACTTCATACATACTTCTATTAGGTATAACTTTATCTTTAACAATTGAAGTTGTTAGTTACTTTTATAAACCCAGAGGACTACAAGACATTTAGGATATGCTTTTGCTATGCCTTGTAGTTACAACTACATATGTATGCACATTCTTCTGATATAGGAAACATTATATACATCTAGACCTTCTTTCTAAAGCAGATCATAAATGAAGTAATTTTGTATCTAGGAATTATTTGAAATATATTTTTTCCGTATCGTTGGGTGAATTTTTGTATCTCTCAATGAACCGTACGATTTATACTAAGTAGATTTTTACTCACTTTTGATTAAGTTATATTTACAGTACTTTACTTTTGGTAATTTTTTCAATTACTCAGAAGATGGTGTCTTTTTTTCAATCGTAAAGTGATTTGCTATTAATTGGATGACAACATATTTTATTATATTTTTTTGGAAACATAGGTGAAATTGTACTCCAAATAATTTACGTGTTCATTGATATGATCTCCCCATCCTTTTTACTATTCTACTCTGAAGTTTGCTCATGAATTCAGAAAAGTTTACAAAAGATTTTACGAAACTTTTCCAAAGTTTAAAATATTTCTGTATTTGTTTCTAAAGCAGAGATCAAACATATGATTGCATGGCTCAAACTTAGCTAATCTTGAACCTGGTCACCTATGTAATCATTCCTGATGGGGCCGCCTTTTTTCACATCGAACTCGAATCTTGATATGATTGCTGCTAACTTTCATTTTGATCCACAGCCGAAAAGGTTGCGAGTAAACATATAGAAAGCTCTACGGTCAAGCAGAAGACCTCATTGGTTGATACACTGGATACGCATACTTTTTGGACATTATGAAAAGTCACCCAAATCAACGTACAATGATCGCACTTGCAATGGTCGGTTAAGAATATGTTTGCCGAGATTCTAGTTAGCGGTCTGCGTCCGTTATCCACTTGGCCGCGCTCGTTCCGTCTGCGTCTTAACACCTTAACAAATATTTTCTTTCTTAAGTGGAACATTTGTTAAGATGCTTTGTCAGTTTCAGTTTCATAGTCAAAATCGACTAATTTCGGAGTCGTTTGCACATGTGTGGCAAGTTCTTCGATATTCCACAACCAGTTACCATCAATTTTTAATGTATAAAATTACTAGACATGCAGTTCAAGGTGAAGAATAGATATTTTGGGGTTCACGATTGCTAGTTTACAAATTATTGGTGATATAAATGAAATCCAAATTAATAAAATAAAATTACTCTACATGCAAGGTGTTTCTAATATAGATAAATATTACCTCAAATCACTTTTCTTCTTTTTGAAGAATTCCGGATATTGGTTTCTACTTCTGTTTGAAATTTGTTGCTGTCATTTGAATTATTTTTCCTCTAGGTTTATTACTAATCACCCACCTTGATAAAAATGAAATGAAATATATATTTTAGAAATATCTGAAAGAAATATAAACGTGTAGAAACCAATTAGATATTCTCTTTAGATTATTTCTTTCAAAATTTCGTAGTACATATGTGACTGATACGGAAGGCTCAATATTAAATTCTTAAAAATTCGTATATAAGATATTTTCAGAAAATTCAACATACTGCGCTCACTCTGCTGTCACGATGGACCCACAGAAGGCACTTCCAATATGGAGATATATAGCAGAATCTAAGTGTAACTGTAACTGTAATCTAACTGTATGGGAAAGAACTGCATTATGACTGATTCCCTACTAAATATCAGCAAAATTAAAGGGTTTAGGGTTAGGGCAAAATTAAAGACGGGAAATTTTCGCTTCCAAAACCATTGAGTCAGTAACGCAGTCTTATGGTTACTTTCTCCGTCTCGAATATTGTGCATACTCTCGTGGTCCTCTTTCCCCAATGTTTCCTGGGGATAGAAAGATCAAAGATACTTACGGCAACAGTATAAGGTTAAAGGATATGACTGATACCAGTTATTAGAAAAGAAACTGTACATATATTGGTATAATTTCGTCTCGGTTATACGTTAAAGCATAAGATTGACATAAGACGGACAAAAGATTGACGATTGGAACACGAGATATGCAGATGCATTCGGTAAATGGTAATAGACCTTGCCAGGGAGACCCAAAGGGTAAAATACAAGCGAAAATCACAAACAAGTGAAAAGTCACCAAAGTTGAATCTCTAGCCAGTGCCAAGAACGGTAACTAATAATGTCCTTAATATAATAACTTAAATCAAAAGGAATTAATTGTAATAAAGAATAGAAATTTTCCACATCTAATGGAAAGAATAGTCTCAAAACGTTATTCTCTGTAAGCGTATGAAAAGTAAAGATTTACAAAATAAGATCATAAGATAATAAATAATTAATTAATTGAATAGTAGTTATAGATAGAAGAATATTGATGCACCCCCATAGAGCCGGCCACATGGTAGTAAGGATGTTGACACTGGATATATTCATAGTTCAATTCGCTTCATTGTACAAGCAGAGACAAGTGGCGGGATGTTTCCGTAGGCCCCAATTGTTTCATGAGATGACGATCCAGGAGATTATCAACTTCACATGGTTACTCTCTAAATGTAATCGCTACGACCCTGGATGTCAATCCAGGCTTGCGCTTGTATGAGTGTTCATCCAAACTGCAGATTTTTCAATATCTGAGAATATCCCATTCTGGCCTCACTTCCCAGATCAATCCATACAACTTTCCAAGTGCAAGAGCAGTTTTTTGCACGTCTAGAGAATGAATCGACTAAGAAAACTCTTTGCGTCGGTAGACTTCGGTAACCTGGCCTCAGTACAACGGCCAGGTACAATTGCATATACAAAGGTCTGCGTTAAATTAAGGTGCTGAACTCTCGGCAAGTGCAATTTCTAGAGTTATGGAGATAGTGGTTATGCAAAACCTCCCTAAGTGCAACAAGGAGGCATCAATGTCCACTTTCCTAACACATAAATCACATGACGATGAAGTACTTTTTTTGCGTCCACTGCAGAATGAGTGCACAATTCTTCTGTTCCTTCTCTCGGAGATAAAATAGATTGCGTTTTAATGAAGCAGATGTATGACCTTCCCTTCAGGGTATCGGGTTAGACTGCTTAGACCTGACAGTACGTTCGTGCCACGTGTACAGGTTGTCGGAACTATCATCGCCAGCAGGTAAAGAAGTTACTGGCAGTTATTCATCAGCAGCCGCGTTCGACGGGAAAGAGAGCGAGAGCATGACAAATCAGCTCCGTGGCGCAAGTTGCTGCTCCATAACTGCGGAGCAAAGATGCTTCACGAGGTGATCATGAGCAGTTGTGGTTACTGTACAGTACTAAGCACACGCCTAAACCTAACGCTCCATCATCGATTTGACCGCGTCAACATCGGACTACTGCGCAGTCGTCTGCTCCGTCGTCGACCTGCTTAAATCCTGAACCCCACCTCCTTCGATCGTCGACACCCGCGGCAGAGTTCGCAATTTGCCGCTCCGCAGACGTGACGACAACGGGCCCATCGTCGAGATCTTGACACTTGGGGTGCGATTCTTTGCGAAATGTCGCCTTTTTGCGCACCACGAAGCTGCCACATGGCACGGCGTCGAGGTGTCGAGGTGCAAGGTGTGATGCGCTGATTGGCGACACCCAGTGTGTCGTCGTCGTCGTCGTCTGCCCGAGTATGCGTGTATCTCAGCGATATCATGTAGACGATCGGAAGGCGAGTGTGTTGTACAGACCCACTCAGCCGGTGGATGGAGTGCCAGATCTGTAGAGCTCGAGGGTGGTGACGGGTTGCTTGACTTACGGTGCTTCTCACGACCACCGCGCCTTTCGATTACAGTTGGACCAACTTCACTCGTGGATTTCGTTTCACACTCGCCCATCGCATCGTTCAGTCTGTAATGAGTGCGCGTTCACTCGAAACGATCGGTCTGACAACAACTACAGTATTCGTGATCTCGATCGCTCCTCGCTTGTGCAAGTAGAAGCCTGGAATCTTCGAGAGGATAAAGAATATTTCCATATTTATGATATGCGCTTTGAGATCGACGTCGCGCCGGTAGAGATTCAGCACATGAGAGGAGAATGGACTCAATTCACTCCAAGTGGATGCCAAATCAAAAGAGGCGGATCTTGACAGGTACTTGAATCATAGGAATTCATCTAGACATCCACTTTTAAAGAGCAATGCCACTCTCGGGATTTTCCTCCTTCTCCCCGATGTGCTCTAGTGTAACCCAAGTCCTCTGAAGAACATCCAGTCGATTTGTGGGATCTACGCGCCTCCTCGGAATGCCCTCGTCACAAGGAAACGCAGATCCCACCGACCGCCTGAGTGTGCTTACGAGGCCTTCTTCGTTCCCATCATCCGTGAAGTCCATGCAGATCAATCTTCGTATATCCAGCCGCGTGCTGATGTGATGGAGATTCTTCATGCAACCGTAGAAACACCGCCACAACCTACTCTCGCTCTGTAACCCATTGCGTGGGTCAAAGACCCGGAATAGAGAGTAGGTTGTGGCGGTGCATTGATGTGACTGCGCGAGGGCAATCTCGCAGCACTCCTGGACTACCATGTCGAGACATTGGTAGTCCAAACACAACTATGTCCTGACTAGAAACTTAAAAATATATTTAGGTAATGTACTGTCCGCAGACAGAACATTGCATAATTGCATTTTTAAGTTTCCAGCATATCCGAGAGAATATCCCTATGACTTTTGCATCCTCCAAGTGGACTCACCATGTCTCAAAGTCTGCCACAACACTGGATCCCAGCCTCCGAGCATGGCTCAAGATCTAGCAGATATTTCCATCGATTGAGTTCGGTTGTGAATTTGCTTCATTCATCAGATGGTGGAGCCGACGACGACGGATAGCATTTCCACGGCTTCGACTGGGCCATTGCGATTTGAAATCGTCAGAAAGTGTAAGGCAGATTGTGCTTTTCACCCCGAGTTTCACGTGCGTTTTTCGTAATATTCATGCATACAAACCCTACATTTTGTTGAAAACCTTCGGGGAAGAGTGTAGAACGTGGAGAAGTGCACATGGGTGAGATGCTTTTACAGTAGGTAAATGTTCACATTAATATGCTCGTTTCGTTAAGAAAGGTTCTCCTAAAGGTGCTCAAATCTCCAGTTGAGCCTGTTTCCGCCCTCTGTCAATAATCTGAAACCTTCAGCTTTTATATTAAAAGTATGGCCTGCCAGTCAAAGCGTCTCATTGACTCAGCAAAATGTGAAAGAAAGAAGAAAGAGAAAGGTTTATATAGAACCGTTCACGTTTAGGTTTTGCATTTTGTAGCATTTAATTTGACTACTGTGATGAATAATAGAAAACTAATTTGCCGACGTCTATCCTACGTCACTTGCAGTTCAAACAAGTCTTTCATAAATAGATATCATGTGGTGATCGTTCTTTCATGAAATTTGAAATGGATTGTGTTAGTTTGTCAAATGCTCAACAAGCTGCTACATTAGCCGCGCATAAACTGGGTTGGTCGATAAAGTTTTTTGACTGGTCATAAAAAATTTGAAATAAATATTATTATAAAGCATCATACTATCCTTGAAGGGGTGACCAAGGGGTTTGCAGCATGTGGGGAAAAGGGAAACCGGCGTGAAACCGATAGCGTTATGATGTTCTACGAGCTATAGCTCAATGGATCTAAGTCGTTGCTCTGGAGTGATCCGGCTCAGGCTGCTTGGCCTAACTTCATTTTATTATTATAAAATATCTGGGAGACTTTTCATATTTAGAATCTTTCTGTGGGATTGGATTGCGTACATGGTTATCCGATGCAATGGAGGGTATTATAATATTTGAGGGCTGTCATGTGCAACTGGCAAATGCAACAATTGTTGTAAATGAAGTGCTTGATGACTTTGTCTTGCCGATAATATATTCATCAAAGGCTTTGAATGGTCGCAACGCATATTTTCCATTGGTTGATCTGATTGGAATGAAAGATCTACTGTACAGAGGACTTAATGACTAAGGCGACGAGTATGAAACAAGAAATAGTGTTAGAGGGAGTGTACACATCTGCTTTCATTCTACTTTCTCAATTCTCTCGTTGGTTTCATAGGTTTAGAGTTGAGGGTTTACGCTAAACCATTCTAAACTCAGAACCTGGATAACAACATTTAAACGGTAGGATCCAAGCTGCTTAGTTTCACCTAATGCAAATGTTTGATATCATCTATTGGTTGAAAGCATGTGAGCACACCAACAACATATGACTTAATTTCTATCAATACTTTTGATATTTAACTTTAAAGTCCCTTCCACCTCAGGTAAAATTTTTACTCAAATATTATTTCGAAGTGGGTGAATAAACCAAAAATCACTTTCTTTTACCACTTTTTAAGTTTTTTAATCAAATAATGTGTGATTGATAAAATTCACTTACATCTAAAATGTAAATTGTATTTAGTTAAAATTTTATTATTTAGAAATTTCTAGTAAAAATAAAATTTACTTAGATTAGAAATAGATTTTTTACTTAAATTGGTTTTTATTGATCTAAAACTTTCATAAATATAAACGTAGAATGAATTTTTTTTTTCTTTTAACGTATGATAAAAAGATGAAATAACTTCAAAGATTTCAATGACATTGTTTCGATGATATCAAAAAAAATATATCTGAATTTTCCTGTTTAAATTTCTATGACAAGTAACAAACTCGATGTAGTTTTTATTTTGAGGTAAAAAATGTAATATGTATATTTATTGATTATATATTAATGTAGTCTATCTTAAAATAGACTGAATTATATGACCAAATGTATTTTCCTAAGTTAACATTGCAGCTAGTTTTACAGAATTCTAGAGGTATAATTTGAAATTTTTAACGATCTAGGTTTTGATATCTAGGATTGAAATAATCAACGAGAAAGAAGTATTTCAATCTACATTTTTTCCCAAAATTCTGAGCTTATTGGGAAAATTAGGTAGAAACAAAAAATACTGATGTCAAGATTGAATATATGTATTTCTTTGATGTATCATTATCATTTTTTTAGAAAAATGTTCTCATAGATTGAAAAGGTAAAACTTCATTTAAAAATATTTTCATATATATCATGTTTTAAAATATTTTAAAATTCATCAATAATTATTAATTATTAATAGATATTAAAAGATTGAGTATACAGATTCAAAAACAATTATTTCATATAAAATTATCATAAAAATCTCTTTCTCGGTTGGAGCCCATACTTATTAAAATAGTAATAAACATAATCCATAATATTGTTCCCTTTATAGACATCCCTTCATACCTTCTTAATACTTTGTAATCCACAGAGTAGAGAAATCATGTTCATAAGTTGAACATTAGAAATTCAATTGTGTTGAATTTCACCTAATTCCCCGTCTCATTTTATCTCATTGTAATGCATTATAAACGTCTCAAAAATATTAGAAAATTTACTTAGATGAACAAAAAATAAACATTGTGGATATAATTTTTTTATAAGTATAGAGTATGAAAAAAATCAACATCCATGAAGTTTTTATTTTATTTTTATTGGTTAAAGGCTTATGTAGAATTAACCTTACATCCAAATATATTATTTGGTAACATATCATTAACAAGTCTGATTTGAACTACAGAGCTTAGACCTAATAAGGTCCAAGCTGTTATTGAGTTTCATCTGATGCAATAGAAATTGTTGAATCAATACATTAATTTTTCTTAATATAATGTTAGTTATATTACCTGTATATTTTAATACAAGTTTCAATTATAAATATTAGATGAAGTTCTTATTTCTTGACACTTTACTCATTTTTGTTGCACCTATTGCTCTAAAAAGCTTTGTGTTTTTCTTTGATCACATCCATTAATCTAAAAGATGTATAAGTGAAACAAAGTATTTCCACATGTCATTTGATGTGTTCAAAAATATGTATGATATTTAAATATTTTTAGTCTTGATACGGTAATAGGCAAAAATGTTAAAAATGTATCCAATCTTGTACATAATGTTTTCAATTATTTATTAGCCTAGTATATATGATAAAGTCAAATAATTCCTATAAAAATGATTTGATATCATCGATAAACGCTAAATTCAATTTCATAGCATTGAGAAAAGCTTAATTTATATCTATCTATATACGTATAAATCGGCTCCTTCTGCTGTGCTGTTTATAATACTCACTTTACGATTGTGGTGCTAGAGAAATCGTGCTATTTTTCATGCACAATAAATCAGTTGATAAATTCATGGAGTCGAATAGAAAAGTATATATATTTATTTATTTATTGATGTGGTTGCGTTTTCTTTCGAGAGTGGAAAATGAGTGAGATAATCAATACGCTTTCTATTATGTCACATTCACAACTGATATTATCAACATACCGTCTCTGTGAAAATTTGACTGTCATGGTTTTGAGCTTTACGAAATAATGAAGACTTGTTACATTGCCAACATCTCGTTTAATCTTTATACATGTCTGTTTCAAATCGCTAACCCCTTTGAATCTCATGAATATCAGAAATCTCAGAATATAAGAAATATGAGCAACGACGAGACCTGTGATGACGCTGACAGCACCACGACCATATTTTCCACTTCCAGCCAAGGATCAGCATTGTCCTTAATTTCGAGAAATAGTGCAGAGCTATTGAAGCTGAAGCAAGAGATTGACACCAACATGCAGGATCCGAGGACAGAGGCGCTTGCACTCGTTAACAATCTTCTGGAGCAAAGACAAACCGCTGTACGCTTGCTTGAAGGTAACCTGGCCAGCTTTCCGGATTTCACTATCTCCATGCCATTTCTCGGTTCTCGCTCTATCTTCTACACGCAAACTTATTCGAACACGTTTGTTCAATAAGTCAGCATCAGACTACGAATAATAGTATTACAATATTCTTCTCTCATTGCGAGTCAAAGAGAATGCCAAGTGCAATCTGCGCCTCCCAGATTGGTTTATTGCTTGTTTACATCTTTGACAGATATTTCAAATCGACCTACTCCAGAACCATATGTGGCTCCGGCACTAAGGACTCCGCAGTCCTTAGTGCAAGAAGAGAGTACCGAACCAGTAGCAGAAGAAGAGGAGATGAAACCTGGTCAAATATAACTTTTCCAGTACTTAATAAGTGCTGCGACTGCCGTGAGAATCATGTGCTAGATTGATGCTTGGAGGAAAAGTTTGTACCTGGTTCTTAGGATTCCATAAACCTGACACGGTTACCACCTTCGACGACTTCATCTCTACACATGTTAAGAGCAAACACAGATGTGAAGCTATGCCATCTAGAAGGAACAAAGCATTATTGGACCCACTTATGATTACGAAGTTTCCAGACCAACATTGTGGATTGTCGGTCATCACATTCAGAACCCTAATGTAGAATATGCTCTATTGATCATTCTTGCAGAGGAATCAAGCATTCAAATGAGCTCCAAGGAGTTTTTCCGCAGGATAAGGTGGATCCCTCTCTTCTCCGAGTTCCTCTCTAACTTCCTCTGCATCTCTCTGACTCAATTGAAGTAGAGTAAACTCGAGAACACACACTCTGGTGCTGGTGCTGGTCCTTCACTGTTGATTCTCTCTGACTCTCCACACGAAGCGAACTCTCTTGCACTTCAGGCAGCGGTTAAGCAAGAAAGAGTTCAAGGCGTTCGTACGGAACATGAAGGAGCTTAATACCCTTCGAGAAGAACGAGTGGTACTCTCATTTCTGCTGATCCAACTCGTTTTGAATGTCTAAGATGCACAGAATTTTCTTTCTCCATCAGTACGTGTAGGGATAGACCGGTTGGTGTAAGATTCTTAGACCAAAGAAATTGCCTACATAACAAGAAATCTCCTTTCACAAAATATGTGACTTGCGGTGTCTACCAAATAATCACACCTTGTTGTTGGCAATGACTTTGCAGAGGAGAAAATACGTTTCGATCATGCATCCGTTGCCTTTCAGTTGCTGGCCAAAAATCCAGATAGACCCTGGAGACTGGGAAAATGTTGTAGCAACTTCTTAACTTGTACTCCAAAGACACTATTGTACTATAGTCATTGATCGATGAGCATTGCCAATGTCGATGAAGCAGATTCTAGAGTTGAAAGAAGTTATTTGGATTCTTCATCACTGGTTTACTTCCCTCTTAAACATGGTCTTCGAATGGCTCTCCTTTGTATAGATCAAATGCGTATTATGATAAGTGTACAGTCCACCCAACCGATTCAGCAATTTAATACTCAAAATTAATAAAGGAATCAGAAACAGAAGATTATATACTGATTATTTTCCTTACAGCGGGGCACATTCCTGATTGATGTTTAAGTTTAACTTGTCGAGTGAACACGTGTTGAACGGGGGTTAATCAAAAGTGAGGAGTTTTGATTGAGTCAAAAGATATGACTTCTCCATATAGTCCAACTTTTTCACAATTGTTTAACATCTATGAATCAGGAATGAACAGTATATACAACAGAACAAATCAGATCTGATTTCTAGTATTACCATGTCTTTCGGTTAGAGTAATATAACAACAAAGCTTATTATTTAATTGATCATATTTTACCAATGACAATGGATGTATCAAACAAAATACAAATGTACTCATCGATTATCATAATGACAAACAAAAAGCTGCACAATTTTTTTCATCTCAAGAAACTTGCTAATGTTTATAATGAACTTCTTGTGACTTATCATGCAAATCATCTTAAATAAATTTGATTACTTGTTCTCTCGTCAATATTAGCTGCATGAATTTTGTCTCTTAGTAATTATAATCAACTTAGGGTTAGTGAAGTTTATTCCATTTAAACGATTCTTTCACTTTAATCTATTCATATATATATATTTTTTGAGTATTAAGATCGAACTTAGATTTTCTTTTTCTGGCTATGAAAGTATATGAATTACATCCAAAGATTATTGAGTAATTCATAAAAAAATATATGGTATATTTAAAAATATTGTCCGATTGTAACTCAATTGATAAGTCTTCACGTTATTATTATGTTTATGTAATCTAGTTTATAACTTCAATTCAAATTTTATGTGATATCTCTGATAGTCTCAAGATAGTCCTTAATCACTTCACAATGTTTGATTCGGTTGTTCAATGGAATCATTATATTATGAATACAATATAACGCATCTCAATACAATATATATATCAAAACAAATTCTTCTTAACAATACACATCAAATTTCTATAAGTGTAAATCTTGCCTTTGTCTGATCATATAAATCTCAACTTTCTATATACTTGGTCTCAATTTGAGATTTTCACTACTTGAAAATGACAAAGATCTTAAAATCCTGATGTCGATACTAAATTTATTGAAGACTCATATATCCATCAATGAAATACATATAATAGTATTTCTAAAATCTGAAAAAACATAAAACAACTTTTTCTCATACATCGTTTGGTTAAAGTGCAAAAGTCATATTTTTAATGATATGTATTTTAAACCATGATACATACTTGTAATATTTTTCCTTGTTATTTGCAACATTTGTTGAAAGATTCTGACCATGATAAATTCTCTGCTGAGGTGTACAACCTTTGCCACATTTCTAACAAATATTTTAATGTTGAAATATCACCTTGTCTAATCAATCATGATCAAACTAATTACGGTTAACCTCTAAAAACATGTGTAAAGTAATCACATAATTGATATGAACATTAATATTCATAGATGTTGTGTAAAAATGAATCAATTTATTTGCAAATTTATTTATTCTTGCATTCAAAATATCACAGGAAAATATTTTATGTTTTATTTTTTGATTATATGAAAACAAATATATTTTTAAATATATAATATTAAATTTTTAGACTGTATTGATTCAAAATATCAACATAATAATTATCTATGAAAAAAATCATATATGGTACACAATATATCTAATTTAAATAATAATTATTTAATTTCTTATAAAAATTAAAAAATATTTTTGGATAATTTTTATTTTATGAAAATATCATAATCCTTAACGTGAATTAAAATTTCTATATTCATATATATAAAATTTTGAAAACTCATAAATAATAATATTTGACCTCATGACATTGAACTGATAGAAATTTAAATTTTTTTTTGTTTGAATGTAATATACTCTATTATATATAAAAAACTTTAAAAAGCTTTTAATGTCACACATAGCAAATGATCGTCATACAAGTTCATATAAAACATTGTGTGTTCTACAATTGTAATTTGTATAAGACATATTGTAGGTTTTAAGAAGATATACAAAACGTTTGGCTCAAAAAAATAGAATTCAAAATCTTAAAAGCACATAGAATGATTTGAAAATTTTTTTAATCTTGTTATAAATGATTACTTTAAAGTTTTTGTATAAAAATATATTTCATAATTCAATCAACCTTATTTACATTTTTAAGGATTAACAAGTAACTTTGTTGAAATCTACTAATGTTATTCTTGATTCAAGTGTAAAAGTGATAGAATTGAACAATTTACACATACTTATATAATAATTCAAAGAGTAAAGATTTTTAAAAATATCTTTTTAAATCGCATATGTTAATTCTCACTAGTATTAAGCTTTGGTCAAAGCTTTATAAAATAACATAAATTTTTTTAAATTAATTTGATTTATACGTCCATTACGCATCTGCGTAATAATAAAAAAATGCTATAAATCTTTTAAAAACATTATTATCAATGTATTAACTGGATGAATCTTGTAGTCAATCTTATAGCTAGTTCAATTTTCTCAAAAAAAAAAAACACTGCATATCTTAGAAAATAATGTATGGCATAAATGTATTTCATCATAGTATTCATCAATTTATTTTTTTGTAAGATTCTTGTGTGTGTTTTTATCGCAAAATTTGCATAATAATACAATAAATATTCATATTTTTTATATTAAAAACTTAAATAAAATGCATTAATTAGATGAAATTTAGCTTCAATCCCAAATTAGCTCAATCTTCTTACAAAAAAATGCATCTCTCATAGTTTAATATATGATATCAATATATTTTATTATATTATTCATCATTTGGTTATTAGAAAATTCGAATGTGTTTTTATCATCAAAACAAATCTTTATGACATCATAACTATCTCAACGATAAATGTATTGAATCAAATTGACTACGTTGATGTTAATACTATTACTACAAATGCATATTTTTCCATTTGATAGATTTGTCATTTTGCTTAGTAAAACTTCATCTATCTTCAAATGTAGATACATGCATAATTTTGTTTAGATCATGTACATAGTCGGCATCAACATGATCAATCAAGACTTTCATGTTTTTTTAAAAGTCCAAAATTTATTAAAAGATCTTTATAAATTTTGGTAAATCTAATCTACATGGCAATCTAATTTGCATCTTCTCTGTACATTTTATTTGGATTTGATATTTATACCTTCAAATTTTTCATACTCAAAGCAATATTGATTTTTTATATATTATCAAATAGATGAGTTCTTGAATCTTGCATCATCCAACTTCACATATCCTTGTAAAGTATTCACAACTACACTGAAGTAACTCTATTCAATATACACAGATTTCATTGCTTGTTTGGAAGATACATTGATGAAACAATGTCTATATGTTTGTATGACTAACTATGATCAAACGTTCAATTTTTTTCATCAGTGCTGTATAGATTAAAGCACAACTTTTAAAATGATCATTACTTACATAATCAACTACTTATTAATTCCCGTATTTTTGCCTTACAAATCTATCTTTCCGTTTATTTTCAAGTTTTTGTCATAAACGTATGTTTGTTGGGTAATTACAAGCTTAAACTATCTCATTTGCAAAAAATTCCACATGTTAGCGTGATGTGAAAATGAACACACAAGCAGATGAAATTTACTCTTTCAATAAGTGGAGAAGAATTGTCTCAAAACTAATGTCTGGTATACCATAAGCTTATATTGTTTCTCCTTATTGCTAAGATTCATCACTATGACTCGGAACAAATTGGTGCTTGTTATGAGGAATATATTTTGAAGTAAAGAGATATTACACTGGTAGCTTACAGTTTTAACATATTTTGACGTGGACACTGAGTTCGCTAGTTCTCGAAATATTCCACCCGCTACTACAACTAAACATCAACCATTTTGGAACTACTATGAATACCTTGCACATGAGTTCAATTAACTTCAAAAAGTTAAAGGTCTCCCCCTAAATATGTCGTCGTGAGACCAATTTTGTCTCAATGGATTTTATTCGAGGCACACTTTCAGGATATAATATCCATAAATACGCCAAGAGACAGAAGAGACATCTTTTGAAACTTTCACCTATACTCTTCTTTCGAGCTTTATCTAAAGCTTTGATTTATATTATTGTCTCAATCAGAATACATATTGACAAGCATTCTCGACAAAATAAACAACATAGTCAATTCGTGTTTCAGCTCATCAGCGGTCTAGAAACATATGGTTTGTTCGTGCTAAACCCAGTAAACAATTCGTGTTCGATCTACTTTTAAAAGTGTTCATTTCACACCTGTAGTGTCAAACAATGGACTAATTGTTCGTTCTCTATCGTATGATTGCTTTACAACAAAAACCAATCAATATGGAGTTCGTGAAAGCATGATTCAACCAAGGCCGAAACTCATACAGATTCAATTCTCTGGAGCTTACCTTAGTGTCTAAGGGAATGGGCCCAATATTTTGACTTGAAAACTAAAGTCACCTTCGGTCACTTTCCAAGACAACACCCATATGCTTATTAAATATGTATGCAAGTTTCCCAAACACGAGACAATGATCCTGAAAGCCTCACACGGTAGTGACGGGATTTTGATGAAATACCAACGCGGCAACCACCGGAATATTACAAAACGGCATAATGATAAACAAATCCACTTTAAATTTTACTTATTTGCTGGGCCATTTTTCGAATTGTGTATCTTTCTTGCGATGGGGGAAGCAACGAACACCATCGCAAAAACAAACCACTCGTTGTCCCACGTTTCATGCTGGTGTGTCGAATCGGTTCCTTAGGTTCTGAGTCTTTGCCCTGAGGAGAGTCTTCATAAACTCCAACACAAAAACTGTTAGGGAGTGATATCTACACACCCATCTTCTTTTTAGCTTTTTAACGATACTTTCATTCCCAAGGGTCATGCTTCCACCTTTTACGATTGTCGTGAAAAAGTACAAACCATTCTTTTCAATTTCTCCTTACTTGCGACTCCCACTCACAAGAAGTGGCCATTACAATGTTTGTAGGTCAACGACTACATGACGTGTCCAGTCCTTTTGCATCAAGCAAAACGGCTTGACTTCAAAGCCAGAGATCAGAAGCAAAATTGTAACTCACCTAATGACTGAACCAAATGGTAATGTTTTAGACCCGTGCTCAAGCCTGGATAACAAGCTGCTCACTTTCATCGGCAATTTAGCTGATCGGATAAGCACAGAGAGCCAACTCTCTTATAGGCCACAATTGACAGTAATGGGCTGATTGATTTCGGCGGTGAAACTGGGCGGCGGGTAGCCTTGGGACACTGATGAGAGCACAACACTCAACAACGATGACGGCTGATACAACTGAACTACACTTTCACGTGTGTAGGGTCTCCCAAATTTATGTTTTCTACTTTGCATGTGCCTAAGTTGCGCACACATCTCGAAGGCAATTTCAATATTTCTGTCATAAGAACATCCGTCGTAAGTTTTGGTATCGGTATACTTGGTTTGGGTACAGCATGTCTTTATAAGGACAACTGTCTTCTTCAAAACCAAAGTTTGGTTCGCTGTTGCTACACGTAATACAAAAACACATTTTTCTTGGAACCAAATGATGCAGGGACATCTGGCTTCGTTGATCTGCATAAAAAGCTCAGGCGAGACCATGATCGGACTCATAAACTCTACCACTACCAAGGACGCATCTTTGAGGCCAAAAGTAGCGTCAACTGGTACTTCATGACCAAAAGAACAATAATCGGTCCATGGAAGAATGTGCGTCCGCTTCTGTTTCAATAGCCAAACATTGATCCATAAACATGACTAGATCTGTCTGACTACAAATTATGATGAACAATGTAAACAGAAGACTTCCTTGACAACAAGCTCATTAGATTTCCTCACCCCCACAATGTCGGATGCCTCATCACTTTTATGTCGAACACGCGAAGCCAAAATCGTAATATCAGCTCAGGAGCTTTACTCCGTATCATCCACCTCCCGATAATTTGGTGATAACAATGCAATTCCTCGATGATGCGATTTGAGTTTATAATCGCTCAACATATCATCTTCTGTCAAGGACTTCCTTCAAAACCTGCAGACGAAGAAAGAACGAATACAGTACATATCCTTCAGAACAACCGCATACGCATCTTTCGAGGCGAAAATTGCACTTACGAGTATTGATCCTCGCAATGCAACCTTTATGAACATTTTAGCCTCCTGTTCCGTATGTTAACACAGTGAAGACTTCGGCTCTAGATCCTGTCCACGTAACAAATATAACCATTAACACGCGATGGTACTCAACTGTCAAGGGTCTGAGTTGCTTGCATGAATAACATCGGACCAGACAAAACCAGGTTTAAGGTTTAAAAAGTCCACCTATGTGTCGTGTGTTCTGAGTCTAGAACTTGACTTCCAACGCAGGAGGGAAAAGTTTTCCCCGATGATTGAAGACCATGAAGTCCAAGTTTGAATGAAGCATTACAACCCTGCCAACATACAGCACAAAAAACAAACGTTAGGAAGTGCATCAAGTTTCTTGGATTAACAGAGTCTACAATAGAGCAAGGTATCTCCTTACAGACAGATTTCACGGTGGTAATTTTTAGTCGCACTCCACCATGCACTGCAAAAATTGCAAAAAACTACTGTACTTGCGATCAGTGTCGTTTAGCAAGTGTAGAGTCTTCAGGGACTAAACAAAATATTTGTTACTAGCAAGAAAGCTTCCTGTGGCGGATCTGCCAGTATGAAAGGAAACAAAATATCCTCAATCGTCTCAACATGCAACAATGAAGAGATTGGTAGTAAACCTAGAAAACATTCCCTTTGCAGCAGCAGTGATCGCATCCACAGAAGAACGGTGAGATCAAAATCAAACATTTATGCAGAAAAAACATGGAAAAAGAAGGAATCTCAGGATTTAGCGAAGACAATTACTGAAGGTTACCATCACAGCCAGAGTCATCCAAGAACTTAAAGATAGATGTCAATAATGTGCTCCACATTCTGAGTTTCCAGTCACAAGTACATGGATTGAGTTTGTCCTTTTGTAAGCACTCTATTCAAAATCAGAGTCCGAAGCTACATACTCTTCATCGAACTGGTAAGTGGACTAGATATCCAGCGCCGAAAACAAGGACACGTCTTAAATATCTTTAGTAAATAGAACGGTACCTGTTTTCCTTCGAGTCGGGCAATATGGGAAGAAAGGTTCCTGGCACTCTTAAAGCAGCCCAAAAACACAATCCAAGACTGACAGCCACCTCCACCAAAACCTGTGAACAAAACAGTACAAGAATCTATCAGATCACGACTTGATAAGAAATGACTCATCCATCATCACGAATTCTCAAGAGCAGCTGTCATAGATAAGAGCCTTGAATAATATTCTCGAGGTGGACCCCGTATTTGCCTTGGAACAAACACTGCCGGCACCGTACGTGGAGCTACGGAGGGTTTTTTGAAGAAAAAGTCCCTCAATTTTTGACAGAGTTTCTACACCGTGAATACAGGAGCCAGACTTGGCTTAACAGCAATCAGCATTATTTGTCCCATTCCATTGATTTCCTATCCAGACTATTGTGATCTATGGAATAAAGGCATATGTTGCATAGGACCATCGGGCCGCATCATTAGATGGCCTCATTTGTATTTGCCTGTCATGCCTAAAAGACCATAGACCCCTTGCGCTGGCTGAGCGGCAGAGGGAAACTAAACCCCAGTTGCTAATCAGTGAAGAATGAAAACCTAGTAAACATAAAAAGCACTTCGACGAGAAGAAAATCCAATCAATCGATTCTTTACGTTCGGTATTTCGTTGGTAAACGGAACAGACAGCTGGAAGATATCAAATCTTCTGGAGATACCATAGTTGGAACATATGTGCAACTCTGGGTTTTTACAATTATCGGCCCCAAGTTCGTGTCAAACCATAAGCTGGACAGATATCAGAAAGGGGTACCGTGTTCTCTACTGACTACACCGTACCAGGTCTGCTTGAGCTTTTAAACGGCGTATATGATCCATTCACGTCAACACGTCTCATCACATGTTTCTAGATCGCCGTCGAAGTAATCATATTACCGTTACTATATTGACTGGTCAAGCTATATTGAAATTTGGCTGGAGCATTACTACCATGTTATGCCCAAGCCACGTTGCAGAGATTTTTAGCTTCAATGAGAAGATTATTTAGTCGACCAAGCTACGATTTAAAACCCAGTAAAAATGCAAACTTGCATTCACAAAACACCGGGGTTTGAAAACTCGTGAGCAACATGCACCTCCGCATCTTGCAACCGTACCAATAAAAGATACATGTCTAGACATTATCCAGTCTTTGAAACAGATGAACAAGATGCTCACCTACCGCAGAGATGATGTGAAGATCCCAAGGTGACTAGAGAAAGTGCCTCTTTCTCTACATGCATACCTCTAATCTGATGCATACATCTGAAGTAGAACTGAAGTTGGGGAATCGGACAGAGCTGTAGAAATGGGCATCAAAACTGACGTACCTGGAGAGGAGGTCGGACGAACTCTTCTTCCTTAATTTTCAATTCACTGCGATCTGATGGATCAAACGCATACAAATCTCAGTGGAATGATAACTTTTCTTCTTGTTCCTGGATCAAGCTCAAGATTTACCAGGTAAACACTTCCGCCAAAATCGGACATTGAGCAACTAGTGACACGACGCAGCAAACAGGAGAAACCGAGTAAGCTCCGAGTCCTACATGTTCACACTCAAGCTACGGCCGACAGAAATTCTCAAATGAATTGGACAGAAGGCGAGGAACAGAGAATTTCCATGATTACATAAAACCTAGGACTCAGCATAGAACAACTCTCAAATGTCAGTTTTATGAGCAAATTTTTCCCAATCGCGGGGGCCGGAGTCAACTAACATATAATGGTCGCGTATGCCGCGTGGGCAAGTACGATCGCCCCCACCACGCCGATCAAAAAATCCGCACCGATTTTGCCCATTCTGTCTCGTTCCGCAACGCTCACGAAGATCAAATCGATGATCGATGCGAAGTGAATGTGCGCTCTTGCTCTAGACTCAAGTGACGCAAGCTTCAGACAAGACGTACAAGTGTAAACCGAACTGAGGGCAGTAAAATAACGAAAGGGATGGGAATAGAATCGGACAGTATTTTGGTTTTGTGTTGTCTCGGCCGTCCAACTAACAAATAGAATTCTTGAATTTGAAAATAAAACGGACACCGTTTGTCATTTGGGCACTACATTTGGTAGTAGTAAAGAAAGATAGGATAGACCATTCAAGTCTAACCCAAACCAAAATGACATCATCGTCACTATCCATTCCAAAAATTAGGTAGGAAAGTTACCTCAACCCTTGGCACCACCAACCATGGTATACAAGTATAAGGATGTGAATGCGCGCAATTTTGTTGTATTGGCATTGAGAGTTATATATGTGAATCGGTGTTATATATTGTAAACACGTTTTTAATCAACGTTGCTCTATTGCTCTACAAATATTACTTAACATCACTAAACTTGAGGAATTTATCATTTTAGTTGATACTACATTTTTTTTAGATAAGCTAATCTATATATTTTGGTTAGTTTTTATATGATGTTTAAAGGTATTATGATGTTATTTTTATTATCTATATGATGTTGAAAGTTTTTCTCACGATACTATCCGATCCATGCCTTTATTTTCCTATTTGTTTAAGTAAGATCAAATTAAGTTTGTACTCTTGAAACAAATACAAATTTCAACTATTATTCTATGATCATAGTGAGTGAAATAGCACAATAATTTTCGTAGTTCAACATAGTTTTAATCAGAAGTTGTCAAAAAATCAATTCAAAGTTTTACTAGATTGGTTTTGCTCTTATGACACATAGTTTGCATTTTAGGCCGAAAAGTGTTGACACCTTGCACCGCGGAATTCTTTTGTCCTACTTCAAAAAACATCGGCAATCGACATGCTTCATTCTTGGCTTGATCGTTATCTGCAATAATCTTGTGCTGCAATATTTGACTTTGACATCTTGACTCAATGTCATTATCAACTCCTAAATTTTCTTGCATCAAACTCGAATTACATAGTTCAACTCTTTTAAGTATGTACATCAGATTTTTATATGATGATTATTGTTGAAGAATAAAAGGTTTCTTTGTAATGTGTGCTTTGACATCACCTTTCATTTTTCTAGCATTTGATATTTATTATATTTATTTCTTGGATCATTATTATACTTCTTTGTTTATACTTTGATATTGTTAAGTCATGTATTCTTGTGTTTGTTGATTTTGAATACAATTTTCATGAAATAAACATGCAAGCATGAAAAACCTGGTCAACAAAATTGATGATTCATCTCATACAAATTACCTTCAAGTTAAAATATTTATTGATTAAAATAAAATATAACTTATGCGTTCTTTTATGAATTAATCTAATTCAATCTTTTTGTATTGTAGTATAATTTATTGAATTTATTACAACTTGAATTGATTATTTTTTATTTTTTATTTTTTTAGAATAAGAATTCAAATTATGTAAATCAAAACCCTATACTCTTTGTTTTGTCTTGTTTTGATTACGTTTTGGAATCATTCTATAACCAACAAATATTAACCACAAAATTTGTTTACCTTTCATGTCAATGTGTACATAGATGAAGTCTTTGATGATTATAGTAGGAGATTTTGCCACTTGCTGCTTATAATTGTTGCAGCCTCCATATCAAATGCATAGAGCAAATAGTTGATAGTTGTTGACGATTAAGCTTGGCTCACATGACAAGCGGTCCAAGAATAACTTCAAAAATCAATCGTCAAGGAGTTTCTGTGATTGTTTATGACGAAGATGTTGAAAACTCTAATTTGTAATTAGACAAATGCTTTACATAGTAAGTATGCTTGTACACATAATGCGGTTACCTATCAATGTTTGTCTTTTGTAATCAAACAAATGCTTTACGTGGTAAGTATACTTGTACATATAATGTAGTTTTCTATCAAATTTTTTTTTAGCAATAGATTATTGTGAGCCACTACAATTATCATTAAACGTATAGTTGGTTCGGCTGTTTAGACTCTTTTGAATACTATTACATCTTGCATTACTTTTAGGTCATCCGTAATATTAGCATTCTAAGACAATGTTTTTAAAAATATTTGCATCTAACTAATTCCAACATACTTTTCTACTTTAAAGTGATGTAAGAATGGATCTAAAAACTACTTCGACCAATCTAAATCTACTACATTTTGTTTCTAATTAAAAATTAAAACAATGACGTACCTCAAAGCCAAGGTAAAGTTGTACGACAAGAGTAAAATAAAGAGTCACTATGGCAATTTCCTTCAAATGTCTTTGAGCATTGTTTCATTTTTTTTGCACGTTGATTGACTTTAAACTATTTTTAGGTATTTTGGAATATTAGCACTCTAAGATTATGTTTGGAAACGTTTGCATCTAACTAATTCTAACACCCTTCCTTACTCTAGAATGTCGTAGAACAAGATCTAAAAAATTTCTTCTCTCAGTCTAAATCTAAATCTACTTCAGTTTATCTAAAAACTAGAGCGATGACGGATCTCAAAGTCAAGCTAAAGCCGTATAACAAGAGCAAATTAAAGAGTTTACTGCTTTGTTTTCTCCACATTGATTGAATTTAGGCGTGGATTGATGAAAATTCTTCATAGGAGTACGGTAGTAGTTAAATGTCGAAAGACTATACCTCGCTCATTTTAGCAAAACAATGTGGTTAAAGAACTTGCTGAATGCAATCTAAGACTGAATCTTGAGATAGATGTCACGGATGTATTCATGAATGTCACAATTTTGCTAGAAAATTTTGTGCTTGTTCTAGTGGTAGAAAATCCTATGCTTTCTTAATTGAAGCATCGTCGTGTGTTGAAGATATTTATTGTAAAAGATTTGATTTTTTTTGTTAGAAATTATTTGGGATGAAGACTTTGTGCTTTTGATCGAAAAGTTTTATGTTGTAGTGATAGCCAACAATCCAAGATTGTATTTAAGTTGGTAAGAGGAAAAAATTTAAGTAAGTGATCCACATGTATCTTTGCGGGAAGTTCTAGAAAGTAAAGCTAAATCACACTTTCCGTCTATAGCCGAGAGTTAACTAGAACTAAGCTATAGCCGGCAAAAAACCGGATGGAGAATACATGTACAAAAGTTACTAGACTAACTATCCATATGCAAAATTTGCAACTTTGCACAATGCTTGAAAAAAATCTCCAAAAGAATTACTTTGTTCAATGCGTCGGCAGGGTTGAGCTTACAATTTGATGAGCTTAAGTGCACTATTATATCAGACACTGTTTGTCTGATATAATGATATCGAATATCAATGTGCTTTACGCTACCATCCATCACATTGTTCGATGCTAGATGAAGTGTGCTCTGGCGGTCACAATAAAGACTCACAGTGATGTGGCAGCTCCATCTTAGTGGCCAACTTGTTTAACCAAATTGCCTCCTTCGCTGCTTCTGCTGCTGCAACATATTCAGCTTCTGTGGACAATTGAGAAATGCATTTTTGAAGCGTAGATCTCCAACTTATGCATCCACCAGCAAGAGTGAAAACATACCCAGTTGTTGATCTGCGCCTATCCAAATCTACTCTATAATCAGCATCAACATACCCCAAGAGCAAACTTGCATTGTTTGAACGAGCATCGAACAATACCCCTGTATCAAGTGAACTCTTGATATACCTCATAATCCACTTTACAGCTTCCCCTCGTCCAGGATTTGACATGTACATACTCACTTTGCCAACTGCATATGCTATATCAGGTCTAGTGCGTACCATAAGATACATAATACTACCAACTGCACTTTCATAAGGAATAGAAGACATCAATCCTTTAGCAGTTGCATCAGTTGGACATAAAGCTGTCGAAAGCTTAAAGTGTGCAGCTAATGGAGTACTTACAGCTTCAGCATTTGACATGTTAAACCTAGCAAGTACTTTCTCTGCATACCGTGTTTGTGTCAACCAAAGTTTTTTTGATGCCTCGTCCCTGTGGATCTCCATGTCTAGTATACGCTTAGCAGGAGCTAAGTCTTTCATATTAAACTCAGAACTGAGCTAGACTTTGAGTTTAATAATCTCACACCTATCCTTAGCGGCAATAAGCATATCATCTACATAGAGCTTGAGTAATATCAAGCCAAAACTTGTGTTACTAACACGCTTCATGTACACACAAGGGTCATATGCACTTCGTATGAAACCTTGCGTATGCATGAACTCATCAAAACGTTTGTTCCATTGTCGGGGACTTTGCTTAAGTTCATACAAGGATTTAAGCAACCGACAAACCAAACATTATTTTCCTCTCTTCAAAAAACCCTTCGGTTGTCTCATGTAAATCACTTCGTCCAACGCTCCATGTAAAAAGACTCTAACAACATCCATTTGATGGAGGAATAAACCAAATAATGTGACAAGTGCACACAACAAGCATATAGTTGAAAACTTAGCAATTGGTGAAAAAACCTCAGTGTAGTCGATGCCATTCCGCTGTTCAAAGCCCTTGGCCATCAATCTTGACTTGAAGATTTTCTCAACTGCATCAGTGGATCCATCCTTCACCGTGTAGACCCATTTGCAATCTATAGCTCGTTTTCCAGCGGCCAACTCCACGAGTTCCCAAGTCTGGTTGTCATGAAGTGATTTCATCTCCTTTCGCATTGCTGCATTCCAATCAAGCTTCTCCGGGACTAATTGAGATTCAGCATAAGAGGACGGACTTCCATCCTCCGTGATCAACGCTTCTCCTGAGTCATCAACAAGCAGGTCCTCGTCCCTAACATCATGTTCTGTAGGAAACCAGGTACCATACCTTTCGGGCGCACGAAGAACACGCGTTGGTCTTGCAGTTGAAGACTCTGGTTGATCACTGTGTGTTGGTTTAGGTGGTGGCTCACCAGCAATGTGTTGCTCCTCATGAACCTCTTCAAGAACAAAATCTTGCTCTTCTGCCTCGCCCGTCATTTGTGGAGCACCTCCTTGTGGCCCATCATGAGAAATTGCATGATAAATCTCCCCCTCAATTGTGTTTGGGGAAGATAAATAGCCTTCGTTAGTAGCAGGATTAACAATCTTGCCCTTTTTTTGATGATCTGGACTCATTGAAAGAAA